ACAGTTTATGCCATTTGGAGATGATCTTACAAAACTGACAGCCCTGTGCATTTCATAAAATCCCTGGCATTAGTTCTGGCTCTGCATCTCGGTTCACCCCCCAGAACCGCATGCGGAGTCCCACGGTGCGGTGTGCTTTATGCCCTCACTGGAATATTTGCACTCTTTCAAACGTCTATCTGTGTGTAAACATCTGTCAGTTCTATACATATGAAAAAAAGAAACTTCTGCTCTTGAGCAGAAGCTCTTACACCTGATTAATATTGCAGAACTCACTTGCCTTAAGATCACAGAATTTAAAGGAGGGATGTACTTCCACTTGCATCTATCCTAAGTTAATCTTGAGAGGAAGAATTCTTAAAGAAAAGTCCGTGTTATTTCAATAATTGCAAGGTTGTCTTTAAGAGGAAGTTAATCAGTTTCTTAAATGAATGCTACTTAAATATTGGTGCTGCTTCTTCAGGGTAGCTTGTTATCACAAGCATTTAAGTTATTTAAAAAAAAAAAAAAACCAACACCAAAACCAAACCAGTCAAGCCCTTCGCTAGCATTCATTTGATCTTTGATACTTTTCCTGGCTACTGTGTCACAGAACCGAAATCTAGAACAAGACTACAGGGTGCTTGCTGATTAATCAATATTGGCACAGTTTCTTTGCAGTTGCCTTGGAAATTCATCTTTGTTTTGTGTTGCGAGGGAAAATGTGAAGGTTGCTTTAAGAGGTGGTTGTAAAGGAGAGAGATGTATTTGCCATGACCGTGTCCGTGTGAGTTATAAGAGAGGCTCCAAAGTCTCTGCAAAATGTGTTAGAAATGATTAGAACATATTTCTTGGGAAAGCAGTGTTAGATTTTCACAGGTGTGTTTGGTGGCTGAGCTGTGCAGTCAGTGTGAGACAGGATACTGGACCAGATGGCGGGGATGGTAGGGAGCAGTGTCTACTCTCTAATGAAATATTAGTGGGAAGGCATGGAATCACAGGCAGAATTACTTTGATCTAAAAGTGGAAAATATTAAAAGGGATAGTGGCTAAGCCTAACCTTCCATAGGTATTTGAGGTTTGAAATAATTATCATTTTCAGTTACAGTTTAGTTTCTTTTACAAGAGAGCTATTAAATGAAGACATCTTCATTTCTCAAAACAGGCACTTATTTATTGGTGGCATGACTTGATTTCTTACATAAAATGTGTCTCTCATATTGCATTGGTAATGCCTAAGCATCGCCCTGTCACAGAATGCTTTGGGATGCCCTGGCTTTTGATTTATTAAGGGATGAAGGAAAGTGAGGGAAGAAAAGCCCATTTTGACTGTTAAATAAAAAGGATGCCATCTTTGACCCGGGAAGCCTCTCAGCCCTGAGTATTTAGAAGAAATTGTCTTTATCTGTTTGCCCCGTTGAACTCTCCTACACATCAGCTGTTGCTCTCTGCTGAAGGCAACACGCTAACGTCGTGTGGACCTTTGGATTACGCTGGCACAGCTCTTTGTGTACTTCATTGTTATTCCGTATCGAAGCACTGAACTTGATCTCTGTCATCCGTGCTTCCTTGCTGTACACACGTGAACGCAGCAGGGGTGCTAAATTTTGAAAACCCAAGGCTGCAGACACTCCTGTCCCACAGGCAGCAAGGACCTGTCCCAACTGCTACCTCAGAGCAAGACGAGCTCGAATGGCAGCGTGGTTCTGCCGGCCCAGCCTGCCCCTGGCTTGCTTTGTCACAGAGCGCAAGGCACGAGGAGGAGGGACACGCAGGTGGGGCACAGCAGAGGCTTTACGTACTGTGGCAGCAAGCGTGGTGCCTCCAACTTCATAAAAATGGGAGTCCTGCAGCAGCAGAGCCATGCCCGCGTTGTTTCTGTGTGGAGCCGAGTCGAGGATTGCGTTGCGTGGGGTGCTTCTCCCTGCCGGGCACACAGAGCCTGGCACTGCTGTTACAGACCTGAAAAGCTGCTGTGCAGTGTGGAGCTCCCAGACGGGAAATTCCGGAATAGGAATGTATTGGCATCCTTTAAGCAGGGATGGAATATTGTTTGAGACTATAACTGAGATTTGGGACTATTGATAAAGAATATCCCTTTTTATTTGGACTGCTGGCAGCTGTGACGCAGTACATTGCTGTAAGAATTGTAGTAGTTAGGCTTCCCTGCAAGGTTAAGAAGAATTATGCATCAGTTGAAACTAATACTAAATATATGCTGTACTTGAATGCTGGTTACTCCATAGAATTGTGTTATTTCCTTGAATTATCCTGTAGACCAGGATATGGCACCCAGAAACATACACTCTCTCTTCCCAGTCAGTATGCACTGAGGAATTCTCAAACAGTTGTGGGTAATTCAAGACAAAAAAGTGAGTATCTAGAAAGTACTCAGTGGTTCTTTTCTATTATAGACATCTGTGAAACATCATATCTTAAAAATTAAAAAAGCATCTTCGTTACAAAGTTGTCCATTGTTCATTGCAAACCCCAAGTCCCATACTGGGTAAGAAATTTGCTACTTGGAAATGTGTAGGAAAAAAAGAGAGTTTTTCCTTTTAACCATTTTGTCAGCAGTTACCCTTTTTTCAAATAAGGATCTATATGACACCGTCTTCCTATTTGTGGACAGAGTTGTCCTCTTGTAACTGTAGCAGCACAAACTTGAAACTGGTTTCTCAGTTTAACTCTTTGAGCTTGGTGAGACTGTCAAGAAATGGGGTAAGTTAGTGCTTCTGTTACTTGGGAAAGTTAAAAATTGAAATTATCAAAAAACCTTATTTTGGTACTCCTATGTGTGGCTGCTGAAGGACTTTGTATATCCATCACCTGAAAATGTATTACTGAAATTTGCTTGGAAGAGAGATAAAACTGTTGAGAGTATGGCCATTGTATATTTGTTGCAGAACAGCACATGAGCATGGCTTAAAAAAATAATTTAAAAATCCAGTTAAGTTTCTTATGACCACATCAAAGCTCACTGTAGGAGGGAAAGAGGCTTTTCTCTTGTCTGGAATCTGAAATGATGTAGTGCTTGACAGGTTTTTTTGGGCTCTGAAAACTCATAGCTGAGATTTTCATTCTGCTAATATTCTTTGAAGTTTTGTTAGTCAGGGCTTTATTTTCTTGTAAAGACTGGAAGGATGCAGTACGGTAAAGTTTTAACAGTAATACAGAAACTCTTGACTTAAAAAAAAAAAAATAAATCTACTTTCTGGCTTTCAACATGCCAAAAACTTGGTGAGACTTCATAGAACAGTGTTCAATCCATAGCTGGTGCTGCTGGGTTTGCTACATGTAGCCCTCTGTGAGCCAGTATCTGTTTTAAACATTGATACTTTGACAGAAAAGTATTTTCAATGTCCAACTTTAAAAAAAAATATTTTTTTTTCCGCATTTTAAATGCTGTTTAAGTGTGTGTGAGGAGGTCTGTAGTTATACAGTCTGCACAATATATGGCATCTTGGGAAATGGTGAAAATGATAATGGTTTATTAGTCTGGAATATTATTATGCAATTAGATTGGTAAACTCAGATGCTAGAAATAGAATTAAATTTTTTCTTCTATGTTCTATTTCTATTTTCTATATAATTCTATAATTGCTTCCTCTAAGAATTATACTGTATTTCCCAAAAATTCAAGGACAGTAAATTTTGATGAATTTTGGTTTGCCTTGACACAGTTTTGAGAAAAAGCCCTTTTTCTCCTTCCTGAATTTATAAATATGAATTAAAGCATTTTATCTGAGTGTTTTCTATTCCTCCAAGCATCAAAGTCTCCATCAGCCCTACATTTTGATTCTAAACTGATCGTGTTTTCTACTGACATAGTGTTGGCTAATATGGCTTCTTTTTGCCTGCTTGTCTATAGGATGGTTGCAGACCTTTTGTCTTTAAATAAATCCTAAAAATAGAAAAACTGAAAAGTTCTTGAAATACACATCATGTCTTTTGCCATTTGAATGGGTCTGTATGTCTTTAAAAGCATCAGATGCTTCAAAGTCTTTCAGGTTTTCTGATATTTTGTATTGAGAACTTGTGTTGCTGGCAATACAGAAGTGAAAAATGAAGCTCACTTATTTGGCTACAGTACGGCTGCAGTAATTTTTGAAGTATGTAGTGATTACTGGTAGATTTGCTTAAAAAATAACTTTCTTCTTTATCTTTTAGTCTCCCACAAAAGCTGTATATAATGCTAGACACTGGAACCAGCCAGAATCAGAGGCTCTGCCAGCACCACCGGTTTTGAAAACTCCCAGTGTCCCAGTAAGTAGACTGTTTTTTCTCAAGTTTATTAAATCTCCTTTTAAGATTCACTGATATTTTTTTGAAACACAAGTTCTTGATACCTGGTAATGTCACAGTAATTCAGAATGAAGTCCACTTTGTGATGTGAGCCATTGGGTGTTTGATAGGAAATAAATTGTCAGTGGAAATACTCTAGAATGGGATCTTCCATATCATTTCAATATACAGATACAAAAAAATGCAAACAGGCTTCAGTCAAGTTCTGTTCCCTTACCTGGGGAAGATCAGCTTCCTAACAATGGACTCCAGTTCGTCTTCTGGGAGAGCCCCCAGGATTAAGTAGCTAATGCCCACAGAAAGCAGTAAGTCACAGGTCAAAATGGAAAAACTTAAAAGGAGATATTTCATTTATTTTTACTTCCTAATGGAGTAAAATATTGTGAATTGCTGACTTGAGTCTTCAGACGCAATGAAAGAAACAAAATTTTGTGTATACAGCCAGAAATGCTAATATGAACATATCAGATATGAGCATGTCTGCAAAAAGTAGGCAAGAGGTGAAAACAGTTCTTAAAGTAACTTGTTTGTTCAAAAATCAGTGTTTTGAGGCTTGAGATAATTGGGGTTTTTTAAATTCTTTTGAGACCCTAGCAATGCAGGGTCTTGGGCTTAAATATATATAAAAAAATAAATATATAAAAAGATTGTTACTGATTATGCTAGGAGAGCATTGTACATTGTCAGGAACCTCATTTTATTTGGTGCCTTGCTTACAGTACTTGCCTGAGAACAGAAAATCAGAAAGTAAATATTTTTGCAGTGATAAGTCTTCAGCTTTTGTTGTCGTCACCAGTTTCGGTTTGGTTTGTTTTTTTTTTAATTCCACCCGGTGCGTGGTGTTCTGATACAAGCTCCTCTTTGGTTTGTGGTTGGTTTTGGTTACAGTATTCTGACCAGCCTTCCTTCAGCATTAAGTGCGCTGCCTGGAAAATGCCGATGACTCTTCTTAAAGATAACCTTTACTGCCAGTGTTCGAGGAGAGAGCAGAAATCTGGGTTTCTCCTAAACCCCGTTCTCAATTTGAGTCATGTGCATTTGGACTGAAACTTTTGTTGCTTACTGAATCTTTGTATTGATGCTGATTTTTTGTGAAGTACTCTGATGGCTAATTTAAAAGCAGATTTTGTTTGAGTCTTCTCAGGCAGACTTTGAATATATCCTCTTCAGGCTCGGAAAATGTCTGGATCAGTCATATTCAGACAAGCCATTGTCATCTGTCAAACTTCTGCTTTGTAACTGGAAGCATCACAATATTAATTCAGGAATCTGGCAGAGATTTGGCTGAACAAACCAGTTGGGGGACTTTGTATCTGCTCTTCATGTTATGATGCACATCTGAAGTTACTTCAGTCCCTTTTTTAACCTTGATTTACCTGTGTGTGATTAAGCTAAATGAGCCTTGATCCAAATGTGCAGCAGTAATCCCTGCGCAGATGATCCTGCCTCTCTAATTTTTGTAGAAATTTGTTACCTGAAGATCTGGATAAATTTGTCTGAGATTTATGATGAGACACCCATAGGGTGGAAGCTGCTTATGCCAACTACGCTTTCTTATGGCCTCTCCAAGCGGCCTTGGAATTTGCTTTGAAGGGGAAGCCATTAACCGAGACTTGGATGAGATACTTCAGTGGTTCCTCCATGTTCACAGACTGATAAGATCAGAGTCCTCCGGGATGTGCTTGAAACCAGCTTTTCAGGGTGGTTTATTAGCATTTTGCCGCTGGAGCCTGAGTGAGCAAATACCGAAGTGCTGCACAGTGATAGAGGCAGCATGTGAAGAATACTCAGTGTAGCAGGTTGTTTTGGCTTTTATTTGACTGTCAATGTACAATGCGCAAGAAGGCTTTCTCTCAAAATATCCCCTGGAGTGAGTAACAGTTAATGCATCCCCTATGCCTGCATATTAATTCTGTGTTTTTCAGTCAGACTTTAAATAAAATATCATTTTTCTATGTAAGGAAACTTAAGTACAAGATGTTACCTAGAGATTGAGGGTGAGTAAATGACCGCTGGCATTGGCACTTGCACATTTAGAGTTTGGCATTTGGAGGCATTTTTCCTGTATGCCTTGTTTTCTGTAGTTTGTGTTCACACACGAATTTGTGCCAAGGAAATAATCTGATGATAAACTGATACTTCAATTTATAGTAGCCTCAAACTAATAAAGAGGTGTAGGTTGAAGAGAAACCTGTAATACTTGCCTGAGTTGGCTGGAAACTTGTCAGTAGTTATTTTAGACCTGCTCAAGTTCTCTACTCCTTGTTGTAAGTTCGGAATAGGTTTTGCTGTATTTCATTGCTATAATATGTTGTTCCTAAAATACATCCTTCCACAAATGTGAATAAGGCCAGTGTACAGAGAGTACCATGAATTTACAAGAACATATTCTACTTGAGGCATGCACAATGCCTCTTATTTCTCTGTGTGGCAATTTTTTTTTATGGTGCTACAAAGTTTGTGTTGGTAGTCTTCTACCTACAGGCAAAATAGAGTTTGGAGTACCAGATTAGAGAGGTCGGTTTTCTGGTAGGTACACTCTGAGTGCAGTAGTGTAGTAGCCTCCAGCAGTTAGGGATGAGAACAGTGGGCACAGAGATTTTCAGTTCTGGCCATCTGGAGGCAGGGATTGCTCAATCCTGTGCTCGTGCCCAGGCCGGTGTACTTCCTGCTGGGTCAGAATAACAACTGATACAGTCAGTCCTGGCCGCTCCAGTGTAACAGAGTAAGATACTTCTATCAACAAATAATTGTTTTTAAACACTGAACTTGGTTGGTTTACTTAACCTGAAGCTTAACAAACAGTGTAAAGGACTTTTCCCTTTTTTTTTTTTTTTTTTTAAGTTTCTGAATTCCACTGGAGCTTTCTTGATTACTTAGAACTGATTTTTGTATTTAAAAGTGCATATAATTTCTGACATCCTAATTATTATTTTTTTTAAGAGTAGGTACATTGTCACACAGTGTAGGTACATCTTGGTAGTGTAAGGCAAGGACTAAGTAGTCCCAAAATGTGAGTTTGACAATTGCACAATTGTACTGTTTCCTGATGTATTTAGTGTATGTTTTCATGCTCAAAACATCTGCCCATTTTAGCACTTTCTTATTACTAGGTAAGGCTATCTTCAAAGGAGGCAATTCATAAAGATGATGGAGTTTTTAAGGCTCCTGCACCACCTCCCAAAGTGATAAAAACTGTGACAATACCTACTCAGCCCTATCAAGAGATAGTAACTGCATTGAAATGTAGGAAAGAAGACAAAGAAGTAAGTATTCTTCACAAATTTTTAAGATAAAGAATTATTGGTAATCCTAAATACTGAAGGAACAGTGTCAAAATGAAATTTGGCTTTCCTATTAAAGATAATATTTTTACCTAAACAGTTGAATGGCCTTCATTACCTTCTTAATGTTTTCTTGCACTTAAAACTTTAAACTGTACTTGTTAATGTTAAAATCAATCCCAAGAGCAACTTACCTAGGTCAAAATATTTGTCTCTTCCAGTTATACACTGTTGTTCAGCATGTAAAGCACTTCAATGATGTAGTGGAATTTGGTGAAAATCAAGAGTTCACAGATGATATTGAGTACTTGCTAAGTGGATTGAAGAGCAATCAGCCCCTAAACACACGTTGCCTTAGGTAAGATATTTTACTATAAAGCACTGAACTTGTATTTAAAGGAGGTATTGAATTAAATAGTCATCAGCAAAGTGACCATGCTTTAAAGTGTTGTGTGGGTAGTTACCTGGCACTTCTGCTGTAAAGAATAAAATTTGAAAGCAGTCATCAAGATGTTATATTGGGAATATTCAAAAGTAGTATGACTAGGAAGATGAAGTACAAAACTGTAAAGTAAGACACTCTTCAACACACTTGTTTTCCCTGCTATAAATTAAAAAAAAATTTAAAAAAAATCTGATAATTTTTCTGGGATTAGTGCAATTTTATGTGCCATGTCTGTTCTTTTATAAATGGAAAATTAAATTCTAAAATACAGTGCCTAAGACCTGAAAGTTTGCTAGCTATATATTTAGAACTAATGTAATATTGTTTAACTCCAGCAGCCTGTTCTTTATCTTCTGTAGAGAAGTAACGTAGGTAGCAGCAGTGTTGTAGCCTCAGTACTAATTGGAAGCTTCCCTAAGTTGTCTTGAACTACTCATTGCACTCTTAATATTCTAGGTACACATTATTGCAAACTTAGTGTCAGAAATGTTAGTCTTGCTGGGAAAAGGTTTATAACTTAATCTTGGTGTCTGTTCCCTGGACATAAAAGTAATTAGAAGGGTGTTCTGTAATCATGTATTTTTTTTTTTTTAAATACATGTAAACTTTCCTTTCTGTTTAGCAAAACTTAAAATGGTAGAGAAGGACAAACTTGAATCCACAGAGACAGGTGATGAGGACACTTTACTTGAGCTGTGAATGTGGATGAGAAAAAGCTTTATGCAATTTTGAGAGATATTTTAAAAATTTATTCTTCATGTTCCTCCAAAACTAGCAATGAATATTGTTGCTGGAGTATAAACACAAGAAATCTTTTTATCCAGTTTAAATGTACATTAAGATAAAATAAATCAATACCATAATGACAGTTTAGAAGTGTTTTTCATATTGAATGCACTTAATTTGCTTGTACGGCAAGCTTCCTAAGAGCTTAAACTGACTTTTTTTTACTTTCCAAATTTATATCATGGAATGTAACTTGTATAAACACCATAAAAATTTTTTCTTTCAGTTAACAAATTAAAAGAAAAGTATTTTTCCAAAGGATAGGAATAGACCTAAAAGAATCAGAAACTGGTAGGTAAGCTCTAACTGGTGCTGTTGTGATTGGAGACAGAAAGACCACTCGCTCGTTAAATGCCATAAAACTATAAATCTTTTATAATAAGATACCTCAGTAGTCATGGAAGACTTGATTGCAGCATCACTCCCACATTACTCCCCATTTAAAAGTAATATATTTTTAATAGTCTGTATGTTGTGCTGTGCTAGAAATGGCAGACAGCTTGCTAATAAAATTAGGGGAAGACTTCCATGTTTAAAATAGAATCATTATGCTGATCACTGATTGCACTACTATATTTGTCAAATTTTTCCTGAAATCTGTAGTATTTCTATTAACCGTAAATGCAGCAATAAATATTAAAAATGCTTGGGTTTTTGCAAAAGTATTGTCAGGCATAAGTGGGACTAATCAATTGGATAGAGAAGCGTTACGTAGCAATGGAAGCTCGCGTTTGTAACTTCTGATAACGTCTTGATCCGTAATAAGCTCTCCTGTGCCTCTAAATCAGAGCTGTGTGCTTAATCTGTGAACATTTTACTTTCAATTTAACTATTTTAAAATATTTCAACTTTCGTTTGAAAGAAGCCATTTCAAGGCACCCTTTCAAACCTATTTGTAGCCAACCTTAAACCAAAGCAGATGGAGTTTGGTGCTGGTAAGCAGCTGTTGAATAAAATGCTGCTCTGTTCAATTACAAACTTGCCTTATGATGTTTCTTCTAAAATTTGTATGACAGAGTTTGTCAGGCTCCGAGGTACACGGTCAGTCACGTTTTGTAGATTTGTTTATCTGCCGTTGTTGTAAATTTGTTCATTTTAGTTGTTCTAATCCAGAATTCACTTTCTCCAGTGTAATCAGCTTGGCGACAAAGTGCGCCATGCCCAGCTTCCGAATGCATCTGAGAGCCCATGGGATGGTAGCCATGGTTTTCAAAACACTGGATGATTCCCAGCACCATCAGGTATGGACACACTGTGTATTTCATTAAAGTTTGATGAACTTTGTGTGCATGTAATTCAAGGTGAAGTGTCCGGTATAGTGTGTGTATGGGATCGGTGGCTCCATTTTAGAAATATGTAATGAAATGAAAAATAAGAGCAACTTGTGTTCCAATGACAAATTCCCCTTCCACTGTTTGTGTGCTTCCGGGCTTAGAAGTTAGTTTAAAAAATCATTTAAGCTTTTAAAAAAAACCTGACTGTGCTTTGCATTGCTATTTTATATCTTCCCTTAAGCTTTTTTAAAATAGTTTTATTGTTGTATTTATAATTTCCTTCAGATGAAATATATTTGAAAGGAATCCTTTCTCCTATTTAAAGATGGCTCTAGGTGCTCATCTCCAGACTTGCTTGTACGTGAATTACCACCTTTTCTGTAGCTCTTGTGGGGCGTTTTTTGTCCTGTGCTTGTCCCCTTGAGGAGTGCTGTAATTGCAGTCGTAGGATGCCTTGAGTATGTGCGGTGTTCTATGATAAATCTAGGAAAGGTAAATTTTAACTACTTATGATAACATGACCCAAGAGTTAAAAACTGAAGCAGTTTGGGTTTTCCTTCTTCTCACCTTTACAAGTTCAACCCTGCTGTATTAGAAAACACTTCTTGTGGGTGATACTAGTTTTCCGGTGGTTGGAAACTGTCTCTGTGGGGCATCCCTCGAGGTATTGTTACAGAAGCTGAACGTAGGAAATGTTACTTGAAGTGGGCAGTATATACGTATATCCAGTCAGGTTTATTACTTTTATTTAATAGATCTGGAAGAATGACATGCAATGCAGAAGAAAACTTTGCACCCATAGAAATAGACATTTAAGAGATGATGTTTGTCACCTTACTGTGGGTGGGGGAAGAAGCTGTAGAGCTTTAAGTAGCTAATTTAGAATAATAGCTTATTTTCCACCTCCCTCAAAAATTAGCAGTCGCTAACTGTAAAACATAAAAACCAGGTTCAATGCATTCATTATTTTGTGAGCTGTCAAAATAGTGCCAAGTGATACTAGAAATAAATAAAGCACAGTCACGCTATTTAGGACAGTTGCCACCACTGAGTTTCAGGAGATCTGTAGAGGACAGCTTCAGTTCCTTGGAAAATGTACAAGCTTGCTCGGTATATTTTTGTCTGTCTTTTAACAGTTACCATTATTCCTTCATTTTCAAAAGAACTAGCACATACAGTTCAAAAGGAAATTGCATGCTATTATTAGTCTGCAGTAACAAAAAGCATTGATTATATTCACTATCTCCAATATATTTGATGAAGCGCTCCCTTTTGTCAGGAAAAAAATAATTGGTAGTTAATGTTGTAATATAGTTACAGTTCATTGTTGGTACAGGTTACACAGTGTTATAAAATTACTGATTTCTCAAAGTACTATTAATAAATGCTAAAATATATGCTCCAGCTACTGACAGCATATGCTTCATCAGTGACCTTCTCTGTAAAAGCTTGCTGTCTTCATATACTACCCTTTCATTCACTAATTATATCACTAAAATTTTAACCTGATCAAAAGGAATAAGAGATTTCTCCACTGAATCTCAGTGCAGAGTAACTCAGGAATAATAAATTACACTACCCTTTGCATGCATGGCTTAAATCCATTTAAGATTAATAAGGATTGGGGGGAAAAAACCACAATTATTTTGTTAATATTTTCTTTAATGTATTTTGGAGATGGGAAAACTGCCACAATGATGTTGCTAATGGAAACAAGCATGAGCCCGTACTGCAGGCGTTGTACTGATACAGTGGATTAGACTGAGAAAGTAAGGGACTTTTACATTTCCATAAGAATATAAAATAGAAGTTGCAGAGGTGGTTTTTTTTAACCATCAAGGAAAACAAAATAACCAGTTATCTTACTGAGCTATGCCCCAAAATATTTACATGGAAATTACTTGTTCCACTGAACTTTTCTGGTAGATTTGTCTTTAAGCTACAGTTTGGTTTTTAACTGACTTTGTCTCTTCAGCTATGCTCTAAAGGTTTTGGAGTATAATTAATTTTTAAAATCTATATTTTCATTATAGCTGTCACTAGTTAGGCATAGAAATGTGGTTTTGTAATGTCTTCAGCATGTGAATAATTAAAAAAAAAAGTGCATTAAATGTAGTGCTGAACCCTAGAAAATAACCATCTGTTCCCACAAGCTGGAGTATAAATAGAACAAGCAAGGGAAGACAAGGATGAGAGTGGGTGTAAATGGTCTGCCATTTCTGGAGTGTATGTTCAACTAGGATGTTTTCCTGAATTCTGTAGCAACTCCATAGTTAGATATGCCGTACAATTTCTGTCTAGAGCAAATTCTATTTATTTTACTTTTTTTCTTCTCTCCACATTTGTTTGGAAGCAGAATGTGTTTGAAGCATCTTGAATAGAACAGGGGGATGAAGAACCCCACCCAAAAAAACCCAGCTTCACTATGGCAATCTGTAAGGGTGGAATTTTGAGGGTTTGACTGGGTTTTTGGGTTGTTTTGTTTGTTTTTTTTAGGATATTGATCAAAATTGAGTTGTGCTGACTATTTTCCCCTCATTCTCACCTCAGAGTTCTGTGTAGGTAGGGCATGAGGTAGCTTTCAGACAACATGGTTCACTGTTTTTTAACACACACAGAAGCAAAATCAGAGCAAAATGTAGAGTTGTTATATTCCAGATTAAACCAACTTGCCTATAGGCTCTAAGATAAGAAAAATGAGTTTCAGAAAACCCGTATTACTGGCACGTAGGTGAAGCTGGTTTGTTCCAGGTTACAGGCACCGTTCACATCCGAGGTCTTTGCTTTTGTAACATGTGTTTCCCTGCTGCACGTCGGCATCGGGAGGCTCTGCCCTGGGTGCCCTCTGTCTGTATCCTGTTGCAGGAATCTAGTTCTTGTTACGCACATAACTACCCCCTTCCTTTTTGCTTTCCTGGCAATCTTCCTGCAGCCTGAAACCTTCTGTATAATGTCTCAGTCCCCTGCTCGGGTCCCTTCTGAGCACATTTAAGTGTCTTAAAACTTGGTTGGAAGGTCTGGAGGGAAGTGTTGACAGAGCCCATGTGGAGGAAGATCCATTACAGGCAAGGGCTTGGTACAAAAGCTCACAAAAAGAGTGTGATTGCCCTTATCAGACTTTGGAGTAACTGTAAAGCATTTCTGAGTAGTGATCTAAGAACTGACTTTCTGAAATGTCTAAATACTAGCAGCTCAGATCATAAATTCGGCAGTTTCCCTCTATTAACTGCTGCACAGTTTTTAGTTGATAGAAACTCCTTTGGGGGCTTAAGCATGTTTTTACCAGGAAGCCCAACTAGATAATGATGGTCACTAGAAAATAGTTCTTCATAGATGTTTCTTGGGTCCCACGCTGGCTGAACAACAGTTGGCAGAGTAGGCTTTGGTTTCTCTGGAATGAGTGTGCTCTGTTTTAACAACTGTCTTTCTGAATGAACAGAGTCTTCTTCCAGGAACCTGATATTTCTTACAGTTTAAACCAGTTGCAGGTGAATCCAGAGCAAACAATTTCTATAACTAAAATGATAAAATTTCAAGGTTTGTGGGAGAAAGGTAATAGAAATTAAGGGGAAAAAAATGTATACCCTGTCTGTGTAGGCAAGCCGCATAGATTGCTTTCTGCCTTACATCTGACAAGGCTGGAATAGCAGTATTCACAGATATGATTTCTTTTGTTGTTTGCTTGGGGTTTTTTGAAACAATCAAGGTTGTATTCATAAAAGGAGATGTAGATTTGGAAACTCCTGCTTCCTTCCTTCAGTCTTCCAAGTACATCTTTGGTAGTTAGATTGAATTCTTTGTTCACCTGAAGGTTTCATTGGTTCAGGCATGAAGGATTTTTAACACAGCTTTTGGTAGACCGTCGGCTGCCCAATTCTGTTCTGGAAATGCTGATACTGCTTAGTATGACCAAGCGTGATTATTACTTGCTTCTAAAATAAACAGAAGCAGCTAATGGTTGCTTTGGTGGTTGGCTGAACTGTCAACAAGATGTTAATCTGCCGTGACACACAAATTCTGCTCTTTCCTGTTGAGCTGGACAACATTGATATCACAGAATTAGTTTGTCTCCATTTTGAATTTATTTTACACAGAAAAAAATGGAATAGACATATGTGGCACATTGACTCTTGAGAGTTGAACGCAGTAAGACACACACATACCCACCAGTTCCAGATGTTGTCAGAGGTTTCTGAAAGTATTGTGCCCAGCACAACTTCATTCTCCAAGGGCATTTCTCCTCTTTACCGTAACGTGGAGGTCACTGGGTAGATGAGTCTCTTGGTACAAGTGTTGTACTTGGAGCACTGGGGACAGAGAGCTGTGATCTGATCTCTGCACTGGCGTTTGCCCCCTCCTGACAGTCACCTTCTGCCTTTGCTTTTCTGGATCCTCCTGAAGGTGAGATTAAATTCCTCTTGGAGAAGGATTAAGTTTAGTTAGTAAGAGGTTCTGGCACACCACTTCTGTTTAAGATAGGGATGGTCAAGATAACATGCACTTGTTGAGGACTCATGGGGATGTAGCAAGGAGGAAGCTGATTTGTACCCTGGCTATTTCCAAAAAAGCAGAATTCCCCTGAAAATGAAATGTGTTTATGCTAGAAAGGTTTGGGTAAACTGTTGACTGACAGACTTGCTTGGCAGAATCAGAACGTATGCCACCAGGCTCTCTTCTCTTTTTTCCCCCCCCCCCC